CGCACCTGTTCAGAGTGCTGAACAAGGGGGACTTACGATAGGTCCTGATAGTTGCGGCCGTCACAGCGTCCCCACAGTTACTTGTTCACAATTTGGGCATTGGCAACTGACTCATAATTATGACAGTCCCAGCATCCTGCAGTCACATGATCCCCATTTGCAACCTTCACTGCCATCTGACAAGCAAAGTCAATGGGGAAGCTGGCAGGAGGTTGCAAATGGGGATCACGTCACTGCAGAATGCTTCAATAGCATGGGATTTGCCTAACAATGGCAACTGGGACTGCCTCAACTGCCGCCATAAGTTAGCGCAGTCACATGACATTGCGCTTTGCAACCATGTTGCTTAGTGATGAAGTTGCCAGTCCCAATTATCATTGTTAAACGAGGACTACCTGTATATACTTCGCAATTGATTTGGAGTTTACTTCAGCTTGTTGCCTTGGTGAAATATCCAACCTTAAGTCATTTTTGGTTTCTTCTCTGGTTAGAGGATATTAATTTCTAGGGTATATTGATGTTTAACTGAATCCATTCTTCTTTCTTCCTGCACAGTACTTTGCACCATGTAGAGGTTGTGTCAGCTTGTGTTTACTTAGGGGTTTGCTGAAACACACAATTTGACCATCATGCCTAAAGTCTGCATACAACTGTATATATGTATTTTTACTCAGTTATCTTACATGGGACTCCAAGTTTATTATTAAGATCATTTTCTGGAATTGATGAAACTCATAACTTGGTTTGGAAAAAATACTCAAACTCCAAGGTGTTCCTTTGAGTACCAATGTTCTCCTGGTTCTTCTATTTAATTAGCTAACACAATTAACAACAATGAAATAAATGTCTGTAACTCCAGTTGTCATTTAGAGATTGGTAACCTCACTTCCCCATATACTAAAAGAAATACATTTTTGAGAACAAAATAGAATAAAATGTAATTGGTATATGTGCCAATGAATTAAAAAACACTTCTGACTTCTGTTCTACAACCAATATTTCTATGCTTCTTTAGCGCACTATCATGGATTTAGGGTCTGATTTTCCAGTATTTTTAAATTGATGTTTTTATATAAGTTAATGTAACTATGTGTTAAATAGAACCAATATCTTTCATGGCATGGAATGGTGTACATTTTGTTTTCTGGCAGGGAACTGAAATGCCCCCATCTATACTTTTGGCATCAAACAGATGTACAGAATTTGCTTAAAGGTTTTCCAGAGAAGGAGACAGAAAAGCATGAGAGGAGATTGTGGAAGGAATAGAGTTGTTGCTAGCTAGCCAATTTGTGCTTTTAAACCATCCTTTGAGCTAATGAACTCTTGGATAACTCGCAAATCATGGTTTACAGGCCACAGTGGCTTGATTTGCACAAAATATTAAGCCAGAGACCAGCCTTGATTACAATGAAGCTTAATCTAAAGAATGGATATTGTTGGTATTAGAAAATCTTTTGAGGGAAGGGTTTAAATTACTTTAGCTTTAATCTCCAAAATGAACTTGTAAGGATTTCCTGACACAATTTATGCACAACATTATACAGGGCTAGTAATCTACAGATTTTTTGGTAATGCAATCTCTCTTCAAAATTCATCTGAAAGATCAAGCACGTATTTTTATTGGCAAAGCTTTGACAACCACTGACCATCTTGCAGATGGTGATTATCGAAGTGTGTCACTGCTGTCAGTCATGTAAATTGCTTTCTGCAAGGATCCATTTAAACCCCAAAATTCATCTATGTTGACTTCTTGCCTTTTCAGTTTTCATTCACTGAGTTTCCATTTAGTTAGTACGATGAGAGGGAAGCTCAGGGGAGCTTCTGAATTATTCCACAATAAGCAATTGATAAATGATGATGTTCTTCTTTGTGTTGGCTATTAATGTAAGCACCTGTCATTAAAGATGATTTTTGTCCTATGAATTAGGGCTAAAATTAAATTTTACAGGGTCTGTCTTTTTACCATTTTCACTATGGCTGCCATTACAATATTGTGCTGAACTTAGATCTCACCACTTGATTTTTAAAAAATATATTATTGTTTATCTAGCACCTGGGTTAAGGAGTTTAGTGGAATTTTTGTTGGGTAGCAACTTCGAATATATAATTGAACTGCATATCTTTAAATACTGCATCAACTGCATTTTAATGCAAGGTATATTGCAGCTATAATGTACTACTATGTAATGTACACAGATTGCACAGAGAAATAAACTATTCTTTAACATAGAGGCCAGTAACATTTTCTGATCCTATTTTGAATGACCTAGATCACTTCTCCCAAAAATTGCCCTAAACCTCATAGGAGTGTAAAATCTGAAATATTTCACTGAAGTAACCCCAAGATCTCTCAGTATCTCACAGAAGAACATTAACAAACTGTGAGCTTTGATGCTAGAACATTGCAGTCTCATGAGATTGCAGTATTGTCCTGGAATAACACCAATATTGTATGTTGTTTGGGGAATTTTTATTATTTTCATTTTAATTGGGAAATGGGGACGGGCAACGTATGGCAAGTTCTAAGAGGATAGGAAGCAGCCTGCACAGGTCTTGAGTTTATATTCTTTCCCCTCCTTGCAATGCAGATGCAAGAAACAGATTGGCCTTTATTTTTCATTTGGGTAAACTGTAGTTTAATCTTATGCCTGAATTCTAATCTCTCATTAATCTTAAATGTGACTTGTTAAAAAGTCCCAGTTTTGAGAGACATTGTTATAAATCATACAGGTCGTCCTCGACTTACAACCACAATTGGGACTGGAATTTCTGTCACTAAGCAATGTGGTTGCAAAGCGAGATGTCACATGACTGCATCATTTAGCGACAGCAATCCCAGCAGTCCTGGTTGCCATCATTAACTGAGAATTGCGGGTTGTTAAGCGAGTGCCCATCCCAATCCAAGCCATTCTGGGCTTGGTCCCTCCCAGCCCCAATAAGGTGAGGGACTGCCTCCAAATCCCCCCACCCACCTATCTCCCTCCCATTGCTGCCCTTTTGGCTGCCTTGTTCCCTGCCTTGTGGGGCAGCAAGCAGCCCCAGAACCACGTGGCTCTGGGACTGCTTGCCATACCCCAGAAGGCCACAGCCGCCCAGCCCAATCCCAGCTGCAGTGGCCCTTGTCACCTGCTGCCCTGCACTCCACCACCCCAGCTGACATTTGCTGTCTTGTTGCTCCCACTGCTGAGGAGGTGTGGCAGGCTGCTGGGCTGGGCTGGGTCTGGGCTTCGCACTGCAAAAAAAAAAAAAGTAAAAAGCAGCCCCTGAGCTGCAGTGCAAAGGGGATTTTTGGCACACTGCCATAGCACAAAACATTTTTGGCACGCTGCAACTCAGGGACTTTTTTACTTTTGTTTTTCACAGTGCAAAGCCCAGCCCCAGCCCGGCCCAGCAGCCAGGCCGGGCACGCCTTGTCAGTGGGAGCAAGAAGATGGCGAAGGTCAGCTAGAGCAGCAGAGGCTGCAGAGTGCAGGGGGCCAAAAGGACAGAGATGGGGAGATGGGGGGGGGGAGTTGAAGTGCCCCTATGGTCGTAAGTGTGGGTGAGCTGCCAAGTGCCCAATTTTGATCATGTGACCACAGGAATGATGCAACAGCCATAACTTCGGGCACAGGTTGTAAGTCCCTTCAGCGCTGCTGTAACTTCAAAGGGTCACTGAGCAAATGGTTATAAGTTGAGGACTATCTGTACTTAATTCTTAGTTTGCTCAGGCTCAAAATAATGTAGACCTGTGAGAGGGCAAAAAGTATACTGGCTCATTTTGGGAATGTTAAGCCCTCTTCAGTATTATGTATGAAGAGGCCCATTCCACTGTCACATACTGAATAGTGTAGATTTAGACTAGAGACATGGTTAGAATTCTGTTCCATTTTGAAGCTCATTAGTCATTAAGTCACACTATTACAAATCACAGCTTACAGATCACAGTGGCTTGACATTACACAACATAACCTTAACCCTGGGTCAGTCAATGTCTCTCCTTATTAACATAATTCACAAGGTAGCTGAGAGGATAAAAAATGATCAGGGAACGAGAGACCCTGGGTCCCATCCTAAGCTTCTGGGAAAGATAGGATTAAAAAAAAACAGTGAAATTGTGGATTTATCCAGTAACAGTTTGGTTAAATTTAAATTCTGTTTTAAGCAATTGTGGATTGTTTTAAGTAGCATCTGCATAGTTATCAGATTTCTAACTTGAGCATTAGAATGTATTTTGTGCACAGTAAGCAAACTTTGACTCTGTAAATTTTATCTTTTTTTTAACCTGTTAAACTATTATGTTTCCTCTGTAGCATTGTGATAATTGTAGTTAGGGGGGCTACTGAGAATTCATTGGCTGCATCTGCACCTAATGAAGAGCAAATACTCCTAGCTTATTTAGGGTGACTTTGAATAAGCAGTATGTAAACAGTTCAGCTGAGCAGGTTAAAATTAATAAGGAAGGGATAGTTTATCATGACATCCAAATCCTATGTCTTTCTTGCTGTTAAAATAAAGCAAGATTTGTAAGCCAATACTAATTTGTGAGTTACTGCTGACTGTTCTGGTCTTTTTATTATTTCTTTATATTTTATTAAATTTATAAGCCACTCAACTCCATTGCACAACTCTGGGTGGTGTACAATATACAAGATTTAAAATGAAATGATCCACACAATACAATAAAAAAGGATAATGCAGAGAAAACTGCCACCATCTTACAGGTCAGACAGCCTACAAGGGGCCCACTATTCAGTCTAGCCCAAGGTCTGTGAAAAGAGCTAGATCTTAAGGGCTCATATAAAAAAAAAGTCAAGGTGGGGTCTCTACAAATTTCTAGGGAGATTTTATTCCAGAGGGCAGGCAGTACAATAAAAATTGCTCTCTCTCTATATATATACCATATTTACCAAGATAAAGCAGAACACATTTTTATTTAGTAATTAGGTAACATTTACATGATACACTCAG